TGGGACATGAAGATGGAGCTTATATTTGATTGCCATAACTACTCCGAGAAAAAGGTAACCCTAGCTACTCTAGAGTTCTCTCATTACGCTATGGTTTGGTGGGATCAACTTTGCACGAGAAGGAGGAGAAATAGGCAGTGGCCTATTGAAACATGGAAAGACATGATAGGCATAATGCGTGATGGATTTGTACCTATTTACCACCAGAGGGATATGCATCAATCCCTACAATTTCTATGACAAGGAACTAAAAGCGTAGAAGACTACTATAAGGAGATGGAGATGTTTATGATTAGAGTAGATATATAGGAGGATCAAGAAGCAACCATTGCATGATTTTTGCACGGTCTAATCGAGAGATAGAGAATGTGGTGGAAATCAAGGACTTTGTGGAGTTGGACGATTTGGTGTCCATGGCTGCCAAGGTGGGGAGACAATAGAGAAACAACCTTGGTAGACGATATCTACCTCCCTCAAGTGCTCCAAGACCAGGAGTGCCTACTACTTCAAACCCTAGGCCAGCCATATCGAAGCCAGAAGCACCAAAGCCTTCGGCCAAGGTTGAAGCTCCAAAAGAGAGACAAGCAAGTTACAATGGTGGCATTCAATGTTATAATTGTCATAGAAGAGGGTACATTGCGAGCCAATGTCCAAATAGAAGAGCATTGATTCTCTTGGTGATGGATCCCTGTCAAAATAACCACACATCCATTCTACTCTAGCAACTATTCACCACCCATTCAACCATTTTACCTGGTCAAGAGATGGAGAAAGGTGGGTTGCTGCCACTTAATCCCACGTGGAGGGACTCTTTCTCCTCCATTAAGAAACCGCGTCAAGCGATTAAAGCAAAAGCGACCAAGCCGGGCATAGCTAGTGGCATAGGAGCTGACTCGACGTCAACTGTTTCGTGACAAATAACTCATCATGCCTAGGTTAGCCTACCTTATTAGCCTCCCCTCCACCCAACTAAGCCATCATCTACCTATAATCCAAGTGTGACATAGTGAACAAGGTGGCAAATAATCCCCCCCCCCCTTCTTTATCCCACGTTGAAGTGATAACTTGTCATTCTCCACCTCATGCCATTCATTAACATGTACTAGCTAACTGTGCCTCTTGATTTACTTGATGGGTAGAGTGTTTACCTCCCAAAATGACCCAAATTGACAATCACCCCCACCTCCCCAAATTACACGTATTATTATGTACTCTCCACTTAGGTAACCTAATTCGCTGCATTAGCTCCGCCGCTCCCGCTTTGGAGCGTGGAAACGCGAACTTTTATTGAAACGGCTACAATTCGCGAATTCCATTTGTACAGAGCGCGAATTTCAATTGACGGAGCGCGAATTTCACAAGGACCCATCGCTTCCCTACTCAAGGAGATGTTTGATTCTCCAAATGGCTTCCGACAATTCAGTTCTCCATCGCCGCCCAACCACATGTGCTAGCCCAGGCAAGACTTGCAACTGCTCGATGTCATCGAGGCACACTAAAACTTAGCTACGTCGTTGAACTGCTCGATGCTCTTTCACTCGTCGCCGACCGCTCGGGATTGAGAATTTATCAAGAGATAATTTACCGAGCGAGCGACGGGTGGGTTGCCGAGACGGACGGCAACCAGCAGGTACAGGGCCATGGAGAAGAGGATTTTCAGTGGTCAAGGATGGGGACAGTCTGGGTTGCGGAGAAGTCGTCGACAATCTGCGAGATGAAGGAATTGTGTGGTGGACTGGTGGCTGGTTGGATAGGAAATTCTCAGGCGGATTTGACTCCAACGAGCCAAAGAAAGCCTAAAAGGGTGAGAAGAAGATGATAATGAATAAGCCGGTTCCCTTTTTCTATAGCTATTTCTCAATCCTTATCCTTTCAATTACACCTGGGTTTTTTTATTATACTTGAAAATTGCTATATAGTCCCTATAAATATAGCGATCACGGTTACGTCATAGTATTTCCACATGCATTCAAATATCAGTCGTTTTAAGAATGAAATGAGAGTATAAACTATAAACCATGGAAACAATTAAAAGACTAACTAATTAATTCAGTTTTTATATTTAATATTATATATAAAAGCTTAGTTAGAATCCGAGAAGAACTGATTACATACTTGACTAATGTTCAAGTATACAGGTTTGTGCTTCATTATTTATTCAAGTTTGTTACTCAAATAATAATATAATATTAACGCTTTTATCACGCTCTCAATGTTGAGTTCTTCTAAACCAGACGCTCTCACGCTCTCGTTCTCGCTCCCGCTCTCGCTCCACGAACTGGTTACCTAACTCTCCACCCATTAACCCTTTCACAAACCTAAATTTCCACCAACTAACTCCATTACATACTTGCCATCCCATGCATACATGCAACGCCAACTACATGTGCATGCATGAGGTAATAATTAACTAAGTGATCTCTACCAATCCATCACAGTTTATCTATTTTACTAACACGTAGATAATAGTGGGATGACAAAAATTCATTTGCTCACACAACCAATCTCAAATTGCATATCTTTCCATCAAAGTCATACCACGCGCAATCAAATGAAGATGGTTCTATACACACAAGGTAACTATGATGATGATGTGGGTGCATGTTTGCACTCAATCAAGATGAGTTATTTTTCAAACCTTTATTAAGGATACGCCACACATGCTAGGAGCAGGAGGCACCTATAAATATGTCACTTATTTCTATTTTCTCCGCAATCCATCTCAAATCCAGAGAACTCACTTTCTCTGAACGAGATCGAAAAAGGGCAATTCCTGACAAAAATTTTCTCGACGAATTGCCAACTATCACAATTCACAAATGTCGTGGGCATTAACATGGTCAACCCTGACTTTTCAAAGATTGGCATGCCACTCTTCAAGCTGGTGTCAGATAAAACACGACCAACAAGTGGTAGCTCTAGTGTCATTGTGCAAGGTGGCTCATCGTCAACTGGCATGCAAGATGGGCCACGTATTTATCCGACTGATGAAGTAAAGTTGTGTGCATAGGGCAAAGGGAAGTTGATTCTGGGTGGAGATAGACCAACCCAATTGGTCCATCAAAGACTTGGTCCACAAAGACCATTCAAGCCAAGGTATGCACCATATAAACGTCAGGTGTAAGGAGTATGTGCACCTACACGGGGAAGTAGGGGTGGGCAAACGGTTCGGTAAACCCGAACCGAACTGAAACCGAATTAAACCGAATCGAATTAATTCTATTCGGTTCGGAATTCGGAAGGAAAATATGGATAGTTCGGAAACCATGGTTCTTTCAACCGAACCGAATTTCCAAATTTTCGACCGAAAAACCGAAATACTATAATTGCAAGCTCCAAATGGTGGATTTTTATGTTTGTAGTTGTTTTTAGACTTGAATATTTGAAATGTTTTATGACTTATGTGTTGAAAAGTTTGATTTTACCATTGATGATGCATATAATTGATATTTATTGTTTATATTAGGGGTGAAAAATAATTTAAAAGTGAGAAAATACAAGTAGCTTCACAAATTCGGTTTTGGGTGAAAAACCGAACCGAATCGAATTACAATTCGGTTTAAACCGACCGAACCGAATTATAATTCGGTTCGAATTCGGTTTGAGGTTTGAGAGAATTCGGGGACCCGGTATTCATAATTTCGGTTCGGTCGAAACCGAACCGACCGAATGCCCACCCCTACGGGGAAGGGGACAACTTAGGCAATGGGTTGCTGATAACACAATATTTGGACATGTTTTTCTCGTCATTTCTTGATTGTTTGAGCTTGATTTCTGTCTCTCGTGGCCTATTTTACGCTAGGTTGTGGTGGTTTATGATGTTTTAGGTCCTAGTACGTGTGAAGGAGCGAGTTTTGGGACGTTTTGGAGCGATCAGGTAGAGAGCAAGGAAAAGTTATGGCCATACCTTGAATGTTATGGTCTAGACCATAACTTCCCCATATAGCCCATAACTTTGGAGTAACGGAGCTAGGGATCCGTATGAACTTTGAAAGTTATGATGAGACCTTTCAAAGTTACGGTTTGGACCGTAACTTCCCCTCCAGGCCTTTAACTTTGAGGAAGCGAGGCCAAGGTTTCAAGAGCATTTTTCAAGTTACGGCCTCCCCCTTGAAGTTACGGTTGTAGCTTCTCCTTACAAGTCGTAACTCTTGGTTTATGGAGTGCAGAAAGCGACGCCGTTTGATGGAAGGTTACGGGCGGAGCAAAGGAATTACGGTCGTAACTTTGGCCGTAACTCGCGAACAACAAATAAAAGGCCAACTCGGGCAGAAAGGAAGTGGTCCGGTTTTTCAAGTACTAAAATAGCTAGAGAGCCCTAGAGAGAGAAAGTGATGAAGAACACCCTTGGGAGCGGATTGGAGCTCGATCTTTCACCATCGGAGTGTCGATTCCTAGCTTGGAGCAGACTTTCATTCCTCATAGGATGATTGCTCTTCCAAGCTTGATGTTTTCCCTTCTCTCCATGGAGTAAACTCCATTTTCATCTGGGTATGAAGAACGCTAGTTTTTTATGTTAGGATTGGTTGTATGAATCCCGTTTGTGAATGATTGATTTGATATATTCAATTGAGGCATTAATCAGAATTGCATGAGTCTTGACCAAACTTTTGTGATTTCTTCTTTAACCTAGAATGATAGTTTTTGCATAGGTTAATTGAGCAACCTTAATTGGAAGTAGTGGATCGATTGCTTTAGTCGAGAAATCGATTCACTGCTCTGTACTGGAATTCAAACCAGCCTTGGTTAGTTTATGCCGGTGGATGTTAGTCGCCCATTGGGTATTCGAACTGAGAGGATCTGGATTACTTTACTTGAGATTTCAGACTTGTCAAGAACTTTTCATAGTGTATCTATCAATCGAAATGAATTGGGAACATATAATCTGAACTAATTGCCATACCTAATTGCCTACGAGGTCATGACAGTTATGGCCCAACAGGCCACGTATCGGAGTGAACTTATATTGGGCTTACCCACTATATAATAGCAAGCCCGTCGACCGCTTTAGGGTTCGTCTTCATTCAAGCTAGTTATATAAAGGCGCAGAAACACCCTACCGCTCGCTTTCTCTAGGTAAGTGAGACGGAGGAGCAACTGCACGGATCTTGCTCTTGCTGCGAAAATGGTTTCCTACAGGGTACGTTTTCGCGTCCCTTCTCCTGATTTCTCATTGCCCAGACGAGTTATGCTCGGTTCTTCTTCCTCGTTGATGTTCGTCTGCAGCTCAATTTGGTTTGACTGTGTCTGTGTTTCGTTTTGTCTTTCTAGATTAAGTAGCATGGTCGATCTTGTTTCTTTGGATGATCAATGATTTAGGAGTTGGAAATGCGCGCTAGACGGAATCTTTTTTCTTTTCCCATGATAAATTTCTCGGGGACTTATAAGCGGTGCTGGAGTGCCGGCTGGTTATGATTGTTATTCATGGGTAGTACATTCGTTTGCTTGCTAGAGTCTTTTAGTGGCGATTTGGCTGTTGTATTTGCCAGTCTAGACATGCCTTGAATTGGGTTTTCGCTTATTGAATTTGGGGTTCTGTAGCTCTTGAAATTAGGTTTCAATTGGTTTGAGAGTTCAAGTCTTGAGTTTTTAGACTGGGGTAGTGATTGGGATGTATTTTATTCCTATATGGGATGTTAAGGACTCTATCAAGAAGGTTAGGGTTGTAGTGAATTGATGTTTGGTGCTTTCCCCCCTTTGTGAGTGCAGTATCACCAGTACCAGGTTGTTGGAAGAGCACTTCCTACCGAGGGAGATGAGCATCCCAAGATTTACAGGATGAAATTGTGGCACACAAATGAGGTCCGTGCTAAGTCCAAGTTCTGGTAAGTGGATTTGTTCCACTGACTATTACGGCTGTTGTTTTACTTTTGATGTTTTGAGTCTGATGGTCTCTCTGGTTTCGGATTGTGTTTGAGCAGGTACTTCTTGAGGAAGTTGAAGAAGGTGAAGAAAAGCAATGGTCAAATCCTTGCTATCAATGAGGTAAAGCTTCTGTGGGTGTTTTGACTAAATCAGTTATCCGATCTCTGCTTCTTTATTTCATAGGTTTGTTGGATCCCTATTTTTAGGATTGGAACATTCAGTGAACTTTTTGCTTCATCATCTAGTCGGTATGGATTAACTAATTCCTACATGACTCGTTCCCTTGAAGCTATAACATTTGTGTTGCTTTGTTCAATCTTCCCCTTGGTAATACTATTTTTGCCTTGGGGGTACACTGGAGCAGCTACATTTCCTGCATGTCAATTTCAATCTTATCAGTTTCATGTCTTAATCCCTGGGTGTCAGTATTTGTCTAGCAAGGTTCTGTGCCTTCCCCATTCTTCATTCGTCCCATATTCTAGGAGGATCTGTCGATGTTGTAAGCTGATGATCCCAGTGCTTCATTATCTAGTCTATGGATTGATTTAGTTCCTGTCTGACTCGTTCCCTTGAAGCTATAGTACATGTGTTGCTTTTCTAATCTCCCCATCGTTCAACTCTCATTTTGCTTTGGGGAACACTGGGGCAACTACATGTGTTACTGATATCTTATGTTCTTATACCTTGTTTTCTTTTTCTTGGTAGATTTTTAATCTATCCCGAGTTGTAATAAGAAATTGTGAAATGTCATTTTGCAGATCTTCGAGAAGAACCCAACTAAGATCAACAACTATGGGATCTGGCTCCGCTACCAAAGCCGAACCGGTTACCACAACATGTACAAGGAGTTCAGGGACACAACTCTGAATGGTGCTGTGGAGCAGATGTACACTGAGATGGCTTCTCGCCACAGAGTTAGGTCTCCATGCATTCAGGTGATCAAGACTGCCACCATCCCTGCCAAGCTGTGCAAGAGGGAGAGCACCAAGCAGTTCCACAACTCCAAGATCAAGTTCCCATTGGTGTTCAAGAAGGTGAGACCCCCAACCAGGAAGCTCAAGACTACTTACAAGGCATCCAGGCCCAACTTGTTTGTGTAAGTTATTCCCATTGTCTGGTGAATGGATTCGAGACACAGAGAGAGTTGGATGTGGGGGCTGGGTTATCGATGGAGCTTTTCCCGTTTGTAGAAGACTTGTTTGTTTCATCAGTTTTGTTGCTTCGGATGGATGTTCGATTTTGGAACCTGGATGTAGCGTATAACATGGCGATCAGAATTGAATATTGTGTGGGAGAACACATCTTTGCTCTCTTTTGCAAGGCAATGCTGATATTGATATGTTCGCTGTTCTATTATAAGCAATTAGCTTTGCCAACAGCACTACTTATTACTGTTTGGTATAGGTCCCTTGTTTAGCCCTCTGTGTTTATCAATTGTCTATTATGGCATGGATTGATCGTTGGTATTTTGTTGTGAAAGGTCAGAAAGCACTTTGATCGGCTAAATTATACGTTTGGTCACTCAAATTATATAAATGTTCCACTATTAGTTACTTTACAATTCGTTTCACCATTAGTTACTGACCGTTAGCCTCTGTCAAATTTCGTTAACACCGTCAGATTTTTTTCTTACTGGAATGACAGAAAGGTTGAGTCATGCAATTTGACTGCCTAATCAGCAACAATATAGTAAAACAAAACTATAAAAAAAAAAATACCCGACCCAATTTTCGAAAACCAGTTTTAATTTTCTTCTCCTATATCTCGATCTTTGCATTGCTTCTTCTCTCTCTCTCTCCTCCGCCGCTCCAAACAAAACACCATCCTCCATCGGTGTCTGTTGCTTTATCCTCTAAAAACAAGACGTTATTCCCTCTTTCTCCAACCTAATAGTAATACTCATCTGTCAACCCACACCATTTCCGACCACCATTTATGCCACCAGGAATGGCGCGAAGAAACAGAGATGAAGAATGAAGGAAGTAGGTAGGAATAAAAAACGAAACTAATTAATTAGCCCTTCTCTCCCCTCTCTTTATCTCTCTACAAAAAACACATTTTAGCACTAATTAAACTCCACGGGGGAGGCGGATCTGGAGTCAATCACAGCGAAGGTGATAGATCGGCAGATCTGGAGACGATTGGCGACTCTTCGATTCCTTGACATCTATGCTGGAAGATCTGAGGACGATCGGCAGATTAAGACTAGCATGTTTCTTTTCCTCTTCTTTTGTTGCATTTAAGGAAGAGGGCCATCGAACGACGACGGCGGGGGCAAAGGCCTGCAGGCAAAAGACGGTCAAGGTGGGTTAAGAAGGAAAAGGTGGGGTCCTTGATTTTTGTTTAATTATTTTTTTCTATTTTTAATTTTGTTAAATTGACAGGTCATTAAGTTAACGGTCTAGTCAGCATTTCCGTTCGCCACGTCATAAAAAATATGACAGTGTCAATTCAGTTTGACGGAGACTAACGGTCGTCGGTCGGTGACTAATAGTGAAACGAAGTGTAAAGTTAGTGGTTAATATGAAAGAAAAGTAATGTCGGTGGCAAACGTGAAAGATTTATGTAATTTTAGTGACCAAACATGTAATTTAGCCGCACTTGAACGGACGAATACAAATAAAGGAAAATTAATGACAGAAGTAACTTTCAAGTCGACGTGCCTAGGTCATAGGATAGGATGCCCTCCTGCCAAAGGTAACATAGCCTAGCCTAGTGGTTTACCAATTGAGTTCTAGATGTGGGAGGTCCTAAGTTCGATTCCCTGTGACGCCACTTGAGCGTTCCCGACGGCACTCTTGGTATTGGAGGCGAAGCCTCCCCAATGTTGGTAGCAGAAAGCCCCAGTTAGTATGCAGGTACCGCCAGTAGTTTAGTAGGCCCCGCTATCGCTCAAGCGGCACGTGAGGCTGAGGTTCCCTGTGTTATCAAATAAAAAGGATAGGATGCCCTCCTTCATCACACATGGGCCCAAACGCACGTAATCATTTATTAGGGTCTATTTACTTTATTTTCGTTGATTTTACAACATAAAATGAAATATTGATGGAAATCAAGCTACCATTTTCTGAAAATCAAAACTTGATTTATTTTTTTGAAAAACTGAAAATGAAAATCAGTTTAACTAAAACTTATGCTGAAGTTCTGAAATTGCAACCTAAATAGTAAAAAAAAGTTGAATCATCTAACTAATGAACAAATAAGTTGTATTAAATATAAAAACGACGAGGAACATTTATTTTATTAGAGAAAATACCATATAGAATTACATTTTATAGTAAATTTTTGAAATAAAATATAACATATTGTTTAATATAAGTGAACTTCATAAGTTTTTAGGTATTTATTTTGAAATGAAATGTTTTTTGTTTGAAATATAAATAAATTCATTTCCAATGGTAAAATTTGAATAAGCAAATGATTTAATTTCATTTTTGTTTGAACTTTGAAATACAAATGAATTCCATAAGTAATGGTAACATTGTTACTTTTTGTAAGCTATGTCATGTAGTTGGTACATGCTTTTAATTATTGATTTTGAATATATAATGTTTAGGTAATTCATTTTAAATTGAATTATTATTATTATTGAAAAAAAGTTATTCATTCATTTGGTTTCAAATAGTCTACAAGGTGAAAAGTAGAAAGGGTGCGTCTATGGTGACATGTATGTCACCGTAACTTGCACTTTTCGGTCAACCTCAGTTAGGATTAGGTCGACCTAATATGTTGTTTCAGTGTAAAAACAGTTTCATGATGCATACTTTGGAGATTAATGGCTTGTTTTGAAGCTGGGGTTACACATTGAAGTGCTTGGGAGCTCGATAGGAAGTCCAGAAGACCATTTTTGAACCTGATCAAAAGGCTATGCAAAAACTGGGAAACTGGCTGAAAATGGCTAAGTCTCGGAAAGTGTTTATGAAGCCTACTTTGGAGCTCAATTCGAGAAGCATAGATGAGATTCGAGTCTAGAGGCCTCTACCACATGAAAGTAGGTATGTTTGTCTACAAAGTCAAGGCATTGGATGAAATATTGGATATCTGGAAGGCTTCAAACAAAAAGACTCGAAATTGCTACGAAGTAAACTGCCTTCTAGCCATGGTTCATGAAACCGTACCGGAAGTCATACGGGACTCTTTTATGGTATGGTATTTTGTGGTATGACCGTGGTTCAACCGTTTTGTACCGGCAAAGTATCGTTTTGAGAATAAATAAAAATTTTTTGTAAAAAATCCTACCGACGAGATCAGAGTATAGTTCTGAAATAATACCGGAATAAAACCAGAATATATCGGATAAAAAATTATAAAATATCAAACAAACATGTAAAATGCTAAATTTCATTGTCATGTTTAATTATAAGAAAATAAAATATTTACAAACAAAATCTAAAAAGCAAGACCCATTTTCTCGTTAAAGAAAGTTGGCCAATTTCCCAACCTTTAACCCGTTAATCACTCATTAGTATTACCCTACCCCATCCTTGTAAACCCGCCGCCCCACCAACATTTAGGGGTGTTCAAATGGTTACCATGGTTATTACCAAATCAAATAAGGCTAAATTTCATTAACCATGGAATACAATATCATAACCAAACCGTCCAAACTAATACAACAACCAAATTAACCAAACTAAAGTTTAATCGGTTTGGTTAATTGGTTAACCAGATTAACCAATATAAAATCACATTATCATTAAGTGAGAAAGTTTTCGGTTAATTTATCAATTCACAATTTATATAATGAATAAAACATAACAATCAACACATAGTTATAGTTGACCCTTAACATAAATACATGCAACTAAGACAATTATCATATGGTTAGTATAAAAGTATTCACCTAACAAAAATTTATCACAATGATATGGGTTAATGAATTGTTGTGTTTGTTTGAATTGACTTAGACTTTTAGCAATTTTCATAGGCTGAAAAGGACCTTGCTTTCAAGTTCTCATCCAACATAATGTATGAGATTTATCTTTTTTTTTCTTCCTAAAGTCGGTCTTTATTAAAATCAATCAAGCAGAAGAGAACAAAAGTGTGCGGGAGTCGACCAATAGTCGAACTCCCGATGAGAGGGCCTTTTGTGCCACAAGATGGGCAACCCTATTGAGTTGATGAGACACAAACAAGTAAGAAACTCTGCTACAACGAGAAGCCAAGCACCGAACGTCCTCCAGAATAGCTCCTCCGCTATCATGATTCAAGTCACCACCCACCATTCGCCGGATAAGTAGTTGCGAATCCCCATGAAAATTAACAAAGAGAAAATAATGTGTGAGACACCATTGGACTGCATCTCTTAATGCTAAACATTCCATGATGAATGGATCATGAATTCCATCATAATACTTCCCAAAGGCGAAGAGTAAGTTACCTGACAGTTGGTATCCAACAAATCCAATACTCCCCCTTGCCCACGTTTAGCGGCACCATCAAACCGAACATTAATCTCGGTTGGGTGTGGTATGGACCTGGCAGGGCCCCTGCGAGAGCTTAGACGAGAAACTGTGTTGGCTTGTGAGGCAGAATTACCAGCTGGTTGATGTGGGGAGCCTCTGTCCAGCGCGCGCCATTCCTCCACCTGTCGCTGAAACTGTCTAAACAAGGCAGCTGGGAGGTATTGAATATACTCATGAATTGCCCAGCATCTCCCCTTCCAAAGGCGCCATACAAGAAACACTACATCAGCTAATTGAGTTTTAGACAGGTTCATGGAGAAAAAAAAAATGGTTCCATGCATCATCAGGATTCATGCCACCGAGTGCCACACGCCAGTCCTCAAGATTCGCTCTGCTCCACAAGCCCCTAGCGATCCTGCATGAGAAAAAGAAATGGGAAAAGGACTCTGGTCCCTCCGAGCAGATTGGGCAAGTCGAGTCAGTAACAACAGTCTTGGTAAACAGAACCGTCTGCAAAGGGAGGAAGCCACGCACAGCCCGCCAGCAAAAGTGCTTTAGTTTCGAAGGAACTGGGATGCTCCAGAGAATTTTTCAAAATCGAGACTCAAAAGGGAGGGATACCGGGGGATGCTGCTGGTTGAATTCAGTCGATAGCAGTTGATAACCTGTCTTTACTGTATAGATTCCGGAGGGTGAATAATGCCAAACCAACTTATCACAAGCGAATGAAATGGGAAGGGGAATGGACAAGATAAGTGCCCCGCTTTCTGGAGAGAATAAGGATTCCAACAGAGTTTTATCCCAAGAGTGGGAATCCAAACAAATCAGATCCGAGACAAAAGAAGGTAAGGAAGACACACCTGATCGTACCACGAGGCAGGAGGGGGGGAGAAGAAGGCAGCCAGTTGTCTTGGATTATTCGAATTCGGGATCTGTCACCAACCTGCCAGCGTAATCCTCGAATGAGTAAGTCTCTTCCTTCCAAGACGCTCTGCCAAGCCCATGATGGGCGATTTCCAGTTGTTGCCTCGAGGAAGGATAGATGGGGGTGATACCTCGCCTTGT